CAAGTGCAGTATTTCCCCCACAGACCACCAGGGCGGCCGAGAATACCTTTGTTCAACCTGAAATGACTCATTTAGTCATCCATAACGTTATGGAACACATTAATTAACTGAAAAATGTTGCATAGTGTCCCTTTAATAGGTATTTTGGTCCACCTTTTCCAGACATCATGTTTCAGCTCCTTCAAAAGATGCTCAGTAGGGTTTAGGTCAGGGCTCATAGAAGGCTACTTCAGACTAGTCCAATGTTTTCTTCCTAGCCATTCTTCTCTGCTGTTAGTTTTAGTTGTGTGCTTTGGGTCATTATCCTGTTAAAGACCCGTGACCTGTGACTGATGCTACATTCACACCTTCCGAGCTTTGGGCAGCAGAAGCAGTTTAACATGCAAATCTATGGTTGATGCTCATTATGTCGCATCAAAAGGTCCTGCAGCACATTCTTGACGCTTCTAAGCAGCAGAAACAACGCTTCATGAGCTTCTGAGCATCTGACACACATGAGGTGCTTCACAAGCAACAGATAATGGAATTGAAATTTTATTTTTGCCGCTCGACGCGCCACATCAACCAATCAGATAAGCTGATCTGGGAACTGACAGTTAGATGGACAAACCACTGCTGATGCAGAGAGCTATGATCACTCTGAAATAAAAATGTTTGCTTTTATTAATGGGGTACCTGTACTTTGTACCACATACCTGAAAAACACTAACAAATACTTCCAGTCGCCATGAACAGTAGGGGGAAAAAACCAAAAGGTAACCTGACCTGAGGCAGCTGCTGCTGGGGATTCCCAATGACAGTGCACCATGTGACTTGTACCGTGCAGAGATTTAAGACATCCTGCAGCAGATCAAGAAAGCAGCCCCAGAGCCTAACAGACCCACCTCCATGCTTCACAATAGGGACAGTGTTCTTTTCCTGATATGTTTCATTTTTCCGTCGGTGAACATAGAGCTGATGTGTCTTGGCAAAAAGTTCACTTTCTGTCTCAGGACATTCTTCCTGAAGCTTTAGGTTTTGTTCACATGTAGTTTGGCAAATTCCAATCTCACTTTTTTAAGAATTTGTTTTAAACAATTATGTCTTTCATGGTTCCATTATGTCCACTTTGGCTCAACAATGATGGCTTGTGTGATCTGACACTGTTGCTCCTTGAGCTTGAGCTTGAGCTTGAAGTTTTTCTAGGCTCTTATGTTACCAATTATATTATCCATCTGAATTGTCAGAAACTTTCCTACTGTAGCCAAATCCAGGAAAGTTGGCTACAGTCGCATGGATCTTACATTTCTGAAAAAAAAGGAGGAACATCAAGCTGCTTGGAGATGGTTTTAAAACCTTTTTCCTTTAACATGTTTCTCTATAATTTTAACGTCCTGAGACAATGCTTTCCTTGGAGTCGTATGGTCCATGTTTACTCTGGTAGACAGCATTTCATCAAACAGCACAGGTACTACTTGTAGCCCTATATATAGGCCAACTGACAGATTACGGGATTGAAGACACCTATGATGCTTATTAGTGCAGTTTAATTTAATATCTGCTTTTAGGTTTTTTTTTTTTTTTTTGGTCATTTCTAGGGGTACAATATTTTTTTCTAGGCCTGTTTGATGAGTTTAGTTTTTTTAAATCACTCTGTTGAAGCATGGTTGAAAAGTCATGTCTGGCTGTTCTTTTTTTTTTCTATTGTATATAAAATCCCAACCAGGGACAGGAGTTGAAAATTAGCTTCAGATATAAATTTTATATGCAGCACCTAAGTGACTTGCTTTGTTTTGTCACTGATTGTTTGCAATGTCCCTGTTAAATAAAGGGGAAATTAAATTAAATACCGGTAACACCTTAGTCACCTGATTCGTTATTTCTGTTTCAGTTGTTTTTTTTTTGTAATTAAACTCAGAGTATCAATAAGGTCGTCCACATGTGCAGATTAACAGAGATGACAGTCTGCCAGCCCATATAGGAAGCTCTCTCTCAATTCAAAATGTCAGGAGTAGGGTTTGAGTTCCAGGCTTATAGAGTGGCACTACCAATAGCCTTTTTAATGGCTTAGAAAACAAGCATGTTTTTCCTTGTTTTAAAATGTCTCGTAAAAAAATCAAAGTTGGCATGTGTGTTCTGGTGTTCCCTGCAGGAGAACCAGAGTTCCGCTACGTTGCAGGGATGCATGGGAATGAGGTCCTGGGAAAAGAGCTTCTGCTCAATTTGATGCAGTACATCTGCCAGGAGTACAAACTAGGGAACCAACGGATCATTCATCTTGTCAAAGAGACACGCATCCACCTCCTGCCCTCAATGAACCCTGATGGATATGAGATGGCCTTTAAGAAGGTTCCAGAAAACTCTGTTAGACTCTAACATCCTTCGGCTCATACTGAAACAAACCATTTTCTTTTCATCTTCAGGGTTCTGAGCTGGCAGGCTGGGCTCTGGGACGCTACAGCTACGAAGGCATTGACATGAACCACAACTTTGCTGATCTCAACTCAGTGATGTGGACCGCCATCGAGCTGGAAACAGACCGGTCCAAACTCATCAACCACTACTTCCCCATCCCTGAGCAGTACACTTCTGAGGAGGCATTTGTAAGGCACACAAACGAGTGGTTTAAAAAAAAAGAACATTTGCAGAATTTCAACCCACAACCTTAACCCTCTCATGCATGAATTATGATAAACTCTGTCAGGATTTTTTAATAAGTGCTTTTTGACACCTTTAGTAAATTTTTCAATACAATCAAGTGTACTTTCTTCATTTTATACTGTCATAAAATGTATATACCAACAAAGTAGTTGCATAGCTATAGTTGTAATTTAGTTTTACGGTTGTAATGTGGTACACTGTTGGAAAGAAACCGCAGTAGTCGAGGCGTTTGCTCTTTTTTCCTGTGTGTCAGCCATCTTGGTTTCACTGACTTTTTTTTTCTCTTTGCAATGATCAACAAATGAGATTTCTCTGGATGGGGTGATGCAATAGCTTCCATTAGATTGGACTATATGCACAAGTGCCCAAAGTTGAAGGCATATGTATAGGAAAAAAAACACTTTTACACAGCTCTACATTGTAGTGATCAGTATGCAAGAAAGGGCTAAACAAACTTGCAAACATATATAGTCTCTATGGTAAAATTTGAGCCCATATAAAAGGCTCATTGGTTAAGAGTTAATGATCATAACCTCCTACAGAACCATTGATTGGTGAAGTGATCCCTTTTGGCTGTGTTTTTGTTTGAACTACTAAAACACTTGTCCCCTTTTTTAGGACTTCTTTTAATTTTAGCTTGGAATTTAAAATCTTAATTTGTTTTTGTTTGTTTTTTAACAAAATATTTGTCATTAGCAGTTCTAAAATAAAATCTTATTAGACACATTACTTTGAGGCGCACAGTATACCGAGCATACAGAGTCATCCTGTGGGACAAAAGTAGTTTAAGTCATTCCAGGCAGTAAGTAGAAAAGGCTTCCATCAACCTTTTTTGTGCATTTTGAAGTATTGCATCAGAAGAACTTGATGGAAACAGCAAAATATGAGTCAGCTTAAATTTCGCTGGAAAAGTTTTGACGCTGGTTTGAGGTATTATTTTTTCACTTTTTCGAAAAAGCGTAAATGCGCTAAAGAGGTAATGAAAACATATTTTTAAAATGAGTCCTGACAGAAAAAAGTTACCTCAATTGACTGATTCCTGCTTCTACTGCTGCTGGGATCCTGAATATAGCATTAATCTTGATTTCTCCAGATGGCATAAACTATCACTAATACTAGCTGACATGATAAAGGCAGCGCTATAAGTACTACAGTAAAAAATAAATAGTAACTTTTCTTATTGCAGGACATCGATTAAAACCTCCGTCCATCACGAATCTGTGGTCTGCACTACCTTGCTAACTCTTCTTCCTGTTTTCAACAGCCAAGAACAATGTCAATAGAAACACATCTAATTGGCTTTTTGTTTTATTGAACTTTTTAAAGGTTTACTCAGAATTGCATCCAATTTGGATGGAAGCACAGCTAGTGGCTCAGTTTGTCTCGCCCACTCTTATGCCGCCATGTTTGCTAGTTAGTTTTCAGGTCCGCTTGTGCTGATGCTAAATTTTGGTTAAAATTAACACTTATCTTACTCCAGAAAGAAAGCGGTAACCTCTGTGGGCCTTTTGAGCCCCTTTGACTGATGTTCTTCTATTTGCTTTGTTTGTTTATTGGGCTTAAAGTCGTAGGTTAATCATATTTAAATATCAAGTCATTCTGGCTTAAACATGTATATAAATGTACTCTATCAGACAATATTGCCCCAAAATTTTGAAAACATTTTTTATAAATTGAAAATCTGTCTTAAAATCTGTGTTTCTTTTTCCGTTATCTTATGCAGGCCAGTTACAGTAGTTATACGTCAGCCTGAACACCTAACAACGGTCATCTGTCAATCACATTTTTTCGGTCATAGCATCTTGATTCATATGTCGCAGCTAATATACGCAACGTTTGAAATAAGAATTATTTACTTGACCATTGAGTTCCGTCCCAGTGTTCACGGGGATGGACGTCTGTGTCCTCAGCAGGCGTAGAGCTAACAGAACTGGCAGCGTTGCGAGGCAAGGGCTCAAACATGTACGGCTGTAAGCCTTCTACACCAAACCAAGCTT